CGTCCTCGCCCACCCCTGCCCTTCTCGGGAACCCGCTCTGGGCTTCTGCCCCCGGGGCCCCCGGAACCGAACCCAGAAGGGCTCCCTTGGCTCCTGGTCCTGCCACTCCCTTCCAGGGCCACTGGGACTCCGCGGGTGTGGACTTCAGAGGGGGAAGGGTGGCCTGGGCCGCGGGTGGTGAGAACACCCGTGTTCCTGCCAGGAAACCACACATCTGCCAGCCGGGGCAGCCTCCACTTCTACCTTCCCTCCCTGGTGGGTCAGTGGCTCTTGGGACAGCGCTGGACCCCGAGGAACCGGGCTCCAGGAGCACAGCTGTGGGCGGGAGCGCCAGCTTGGGGCCTGGGAGCCGGGGCGGGGCCGGGGCCTCAGCCCCAGCAGTGATTGGGTGGCTCTCTGGGAGCTGCTACCAGCAGGTGGCGCTGGGCAGGGGCCCGGGAGGGGACAGGGCTTCTCCACCGCTCCTGGGGCCCTGTCAGCACAGGGAGGAGCGCACCACCGATCACTTGCCAGGTCCCCCGGGAGGAGTGGGTGAGAGGGCGGGGTTTCTGCCAGGGTCCGAAGCAAGCAGGCGGCAGGAGGGCTGGGGAAGGTGGGAGCCTTCTGCGCCAGGCCACGACACACCTGGGGACAGGTAGGGCAGAGGAGTGAAGGCAGCCATGGCTGAAGAGGCAGAGGAGGAGGAGACACCGGGTGTCCAGGAGGAGGAAGTGCTAGGGGACGACGGCGAGAGACTGCTAGACAGAAAGCAGGGAGGGGAGCAGGACCTCTGGCCAGCATTCAGGGACAGTGCGGAAGTCAGGCAGAGAAAGGCAGGCACAGCCTCAGCAGCCCGTCCCTGTCCCCTTTGCCCAGCAGCTGCTGCACAGGCAGGGCAGCCCGTACCGTGCCCGTCCCCAGTGCACCTTGCAAGCCTGGCTACCTGCCTCCCTCACAGAACTGCTCCTCCAGTGGTGTCCTAGTCATCTTGGGTCCCGACGGCCGGCCTGGGACCCCTGGGGTGAAGGCGTCAGGACAGGACCCCAGACCTGGCATGGAAGCTTCCGGGCACAGGGGAGGTCCATGGAAAAGGGGGCTGGGGCCTCATCCCGGAGGCCCCCACTTACTCTCGTCAGGCATCGGAGGCTGGTGACGGGAAGACAGCCGCTCATGGTCACTGGTTACCCAGGGCACCAGCTCCTGGACTCCTGGCTTCTAGCTGTCTGTTCCTGGTAATCACAGAATTCCATTTATTTAAGGCGCCCGGTCGGCCAGTGTTGCTGTCACCTCTTGTGCCCACCTGGCCCTGTCTCCTCAGGGGCTCCGCATAAATAAGCCCTAAGGGGGCGCACACAGGCCACAGGTACCTGTCCCCAGGCATGGCAGAAAGGCTGCCCTTGGAGACCTAGATAGGTAAGGCCACCCACTAGGAGGGGCAGACCCTGTCTCAGCTCTTAGCTGGACAGGGTGGTGCACGCCTGTGATCCCAGCACTTGGGAGGCTGAGGCAGGAGAATCACCAAGAGTTCAAGGCCAGCTTGAACTGCATAGCCAGACCTGTCTCAAAATAGAAAGAAAGAACTGGTACAATAGTGACAAGCAGACCAGAAGACTTGGAACCCAGTCTGGCTGGCTGCTGCCCTCTGGTGGTGACAGTGGGTGACACTGCAAACTCCTCTGACTTTGCCAAGGTGACAGCGGCCATCCCAGAGCGGCAGGGAGACGCAGCCGGACAGCCTCGGAGGGCCTGCCCCAGGACGCCCCCCAACTGCGCTCGTGCCGAATGCTGTCGGCCAGGGGCTGTGTGACTGAATTTCGCCTCAGAAAACTCTTAGCCTAGGAGTGGGGAGGAGGAGCTGGTGGAACAGGGCAGAGTGGGAGGGGGAGAGTCAAGGCTGAGGTTTAGGGAGAGCTGGGCGGGAGGGAGACGCGGGACGAGGGAACAGCCTGTGCCTGGCGACTCCTGCTGACAGGGCTGACCGGCTCTCTGCGGGCCGGGAGGCCCAGGAGAAAGGTCGAGGGGGGCGCCACGCCCAGGGCCAAATCAGGCCTGGTGGACTGGCACGCAGAGAAGCAAGGCTCACGCACGCGCAGCCACACTGACAGGCTTGCATCCCAGAGGAAGGGTCTCACTTCGCCCTCCTGTGTTTTGTTTTGTTTTTTTTCCAATTGGGGAATTGAACCCATGGCCTTCACACTGAGCTACATCCCCAAGCCCCCAGCACCCCGTTTTAAGACAAAGACTGCAGTTCAGGCTAAACTTGAACTCACTAGTAGCCCAGGCTGGCCTCCACCTCAAACTGATTTTCCCGCTTCAGCGTTCCAAGTGCCGGGATTATGGGTGTGCACCACCATACCTGGTCCCTAGTTTTTGTTGTTGCTGTTGTTATGAGCCCATAAATCGCATAAACTGGGCATCAAACCCAGGGCCTGAGGCCAGGCTTGGTGGCACATGGCTATACTCTCAGCACTGGACAGGCTGAGACGGGATGGTCACTATGAGTTCGGGGTCAGCCTGAACTAGTGGGACCCCGTCTCAAAAACAAAAAAGAAAGTGGAAACAGGTATTCAGCCAAGCTAAGGAAGCGCTTTATCACTGAGATACACACCCAGCCTCCTGGGCTCAAATCTGTGATCCTCCTGCCTCAGCCTCCCAGATTCATTCCAGGCACCACACCTGGCTAATTAAATCCCCTTATTGTTTGGTGCCTCGCCCCGTTTCCAGGTCCGAAGCAGAAAGTCCGGCATCCTGGGGTTCCTCGCCAGCCAGAGATCGAGAGCCTCCGCTGTGGGGCGCTGAGGAGACCCTTCCCAGTCTGAGTCACTCACCTCTGTGGCTTTGCCCTGAGTGACCGGTTCCTTCGGTGCTCACCAAAGTCTCAAAGGCGAGATCTCCAGATGCGCTTCTCCGTCCTGAAGGAGAGGAGAGTGAGGCTTCTGGGAAGCCAGGGGTCCATTTCTAGTCCTCCCCGGGTCCGCCCCGCCCGCCCCCTCCCACCTCGCCACGGGGTGGGGGAGGGGCCTAAACTTGCAATTCCTTTCCTCTCGGGGTGGGACCCCGGGAAAGTTTTCCTACACTTTCTCTCCGGAAGTGCGCCGGATGTACGTGAGGGGCGAGGGCTCATACCTGTCCCAAGCCCTCCTGCCCTCATCACAAACAAGGGTGCCCCCCCATCACCAGGCGGTACCCCTAACTCCCTTACTTTCCTAGTTCCCCAAACCTACTCAGCAAACAGAAAAGACAGGGGCTCAGAGAGGCCGAGCTCACATCGAGGGGGTTGCACAGCGCCGCAGTCAGGGTTCGAACTCGGGGGTCTCCGGACCTCGCCCTCCTGCTCCCCGAGTTTCCGCGAGGCTGGCAGCTTGCTGTCCCGGCCCGTGCCCCGGTGTCAGCGAGGACTCTGGGACTTGAAGTCACCTCCGGGGCGTCCCTGCCCGGTGGCCAAGCCGAGAGAGGATCCGAGCCCGGGCAGCGAGGTGGCAGCTGCGGCAGGGCGGGGGAGATATTTTTAGGTGACCGGGAAGCTGGCTCCTGGCTCTCCCCCAGCGGGCGGGCGCTGTGCCCCACTGAGAGCGGGGGTGCAGCTCGGGGACC